AAGAAAGGACTTGTATCGCTGAAGTTTCTCAGAAAGAATTTCTATGGGAAATTAACAAACAAGCAGATATGTAACAATATAATATTCTAAATATAAAATACTATCTTTCAGGAGAACCATTTTCTGTAAAAGGAGAATCAATGATCTTAACAGGTAAAATTATTAATGCACAACATTGTATTACAGGTGGGCCTCTGACTGTTACAGATGCAAACTTATGTTTGGGGAGGCTCCTTCCTGATTATTTTCCAAAAATATTTGGGGATAAAGAAGATCAGCCACTGGATAAAGAGGAGACCACTAAAGCATTCCAAGAACTTACTAATAAGGTGTTTTTCCTCTCATGGAGAAAAATTAGTGAAATCAAATGTTGATAATAAAAATTTTTGGAAGAATATTATTTATTTGCATTACATTTTATATACTTTGATATTCATGGTTTAAAAGTACAAAGAATGCCATTTTTTAAATCTTAGGCACAGTTTTTAAAAACAGTTTTATCTGTTTTTAATGTCAGTTGCTCCTTTGTTCTTTTTTCAGTTGAAAATATGTTCTTACTTTCTCTACATTTTTAGGTCAACACATATCTTCTGAACCAGTCAGAGCATGTATGTAAGGAACCCATGACAAGAGAAGAAGTTGCTCTAGGATTTATACGTGTAGCAAATGAAACTATGTGTCGGCCAATTAGAGCCCTGACTCAAGTAAAAGGTTATGACACCTCTCAGCATGTCCTAGCTTCTTTTGGGGGAGCAGGTGGTCAACATGCTTGTGCTATTGCTCGATCACTTGGAATATCATCTGTGTTTATTCATAGGTAAGACTTAAACATAAAGATCTCTTCAATTTTATAATGCTATGAACCTGTCATTATACTTAACACTGTCCTGATGTAAGTCTATGTATTACAAATATATGAAGTTTGTGATTTTTGAAACGTTTTATATTATTATTCATTATTTTTAATATTTGATTTTGCTCCTTGTTCACTCTTATGTGTAAAAAATAATGAACATGACCAAGGATGTCTGTTAATATGTGCTCATGCATGTAGTACAGTGCTCATACCCTGAGGCTTGGAATGCATAATGAAAAAGATTATCTAATGACAAAAGCCACGTGTGGGATCACATGGTAAGCACTGGTGGTATATTACAGTATGTGCAGATAGAAATGGCCATGGAGGCTAGTTAAAAGTGGTCTCCACGAGAATGTTTGAGGAAGGGGATTCATGATTAGCTTTATTTAAAAGTTAAGACCTTTAATCTCTTTAATCTAGTAACATTAAAGACAAGAATATACTTTAATATAAATTTAATATAAATAATATTTGTTCATATTTACTAATTTTAAATTATTGAGGAGGTACCATCTCTCCTCCTTAAGTGATTATAACAGTGGTAAATAAATGTGTGAATATCAAAATTCCTCTCGGGTTCAATGAATTGAAACAAACTAGGTAAATTTAACAAAGCTATCCATTCAAATTATTTTAAGATCTTAACTGAAGCCAATGAGAAAACCAATCTATTACAAGAGTCTGTCAATAGACAGTTGATAATTCAATCATGTGAACTTAGGAAAAAACTTACTACTTAAACTGTAAAGTACTATTATGTAGTTTTGTCATTCTAACACAACTCTGTATGAACATTATTTTCTTTGACAAATAACATTATTTTTAGGTTTATGTTATATTATGAATTGAAATAACTACAATCTACCTCTTCTCACACAAATAGCTATTCTCGTTCAGTGCAGCCCTATATATGCAAAATTTCTTTATGCATGTCACAAGCCTTTTATCTTCCCTCCATTGGAATTGATGGATTCCAGTGCATCTCTCATGCAAATCATCATGCATCAACCCTCCATCAATAAGAGTGCAACATACTTACATGTCGCATGTGACTCCTTCTATTCAATTCTACCAACTGTCACTTCATGTTTGGCAGTAGGAGAGACCGGGGCTACTTGTTACGATTTTTAGAAAAAAGTCCAATATCTAGCGAAATAACCCGAATCATACATTGAAACTGAATGAAAGTGAAAGATAAATATGTACTTTATCAACATTATGTATTCTATATTGAACAAAATTGGTTACATAAAAGATTTTGTAAATATTTTGAAGTAAAGTCAAGTGTAACAATATGCCCCGGATGCGGGGTAAGTTGATATAATAGGTGGGGCATGTTGTTATACAATGAAAAAAAATCAGGAATATTTGCCAAAATTAGCCTATTCTATCATGCTAGATGTTATAATAGGCTTACTGTAGTTTTCTCATAACATTTAGCA